AAATCAACACTTTTCATGTCTATTTCACTTAAAACAGACGTGTACCTCTGTTTTGGGCAAACAGAGGTAAAAGGTGGATTTAAAAAAAAAAAATGCCCCATGCTTATTATTATCATATAAGAAAATCTTTTCAATATTAACATATATATGATATTAGAAATAATTACATTATATTCATAAAAAAAATGTCATCTTATAATCAATAAGGAAATAATCCAATGTAAATTATAATTAATACAAGCTAAAACTATACCAAGAGGACTGTATCAATACAAGTTAAACATGGCAACGAACTAATCTCACTCAACTAGAACTAACAACTCTTATAGCAAAATGCATATTCATTAGTGGAATATATACAAGTTTTGCTTACTATTCCCCCTTCAACAGCATGTCCTTGTAGGACTTTGAACACATATTCATGGCAGTAACCCTTTCGAAGAAGCCATGATTTTTCTAGAGTTTGGCATCCTATCTCATCGTGAGGCTCTATTGATTAATGACCAACTGCCAATAAAGAATTCTGTCACCAAACCAAACTGAAGTTGAACTCCCTTAATTGTCGCTTTGGGGTTACTCCAAAAATTAACCGAATTAATGCAATATAGTGCAAAACTCGGGTCGTTTCACTTTGAGGAGCCGAAAACGAAATTAAATCCTAGTAAATAAATGCAAGTAACCTAAACTATAAAAAGAGATTTTTGATTTTGAAAAGCTATTAATTAAATACTACGAATCAAATTGAAATTAAAATACTTTTTTTTTGGTTTTTATATAAAAGTGATTAAAATGAATGGAGATTAAAAAAATGAAAATGAGACACACAAATAACACTGATAAAAATCAATCCTCCAATTCAACAACGCAGGCAATCATCACTCTAAAAGATGTGGGAGTTAAAAACAATGAATTAAGAATTATAATTAAGCTTTTGATCCAACAACCGAGCCACCTCGAGTTGCCACAAAATATTTTCCTAAAATCCCAACTTACTAACTGCAACCAGAATAGTAAAATGAGATTAAGGATGCTAAAAACCAATGCTTAATTAGAACTCTTAAATCCAAAATAACAGAATTAAAGCTAGCAAGAGACTATATGATCCAAAATTCTAAGCCACCTTAGAAAATCACAATATATTAATTCCAAAATCAATACAAATGTCATAACCACAACATTATAATTGAGATCAAAACTATAAACAGCCCAATGTCAAATACTAAGCAATAATTCAGTCACAATAATCCCCAAATATAATCAGATTAAGCAATACAAAATTTTCTAATAATTAGAATAACTATCCTAAGACCTAGGAATTGTTAAGCAATTATTAGACAGGAAATTAAAGTAACTAAACTCCCCTTTGATGATCCAAGCTCCTGCCATTATTGTTGAATTAAGAGAATTATGGGACCTTAGCCACGGATTGCCATAAGAGTTGCTGTAATCAAAGTTCTGCTGCAAATTTCCATGGAGGAACACTGTTCACGCCGCCTCCTCTGTTTTTTTCCGTCGCACCCAGCTCTGTTGCGTGTGTGTGCTCTGTTCGCTCGTGTCTCAGCCTCCAAGCTCTGTTCGTCTATCTTTTTCCCGCCGCGCCTCGCGTGTGTGTGTGCGTTTTTGTTCGGCCGCTGTCGCATGTGTGTGTGTTCCGTTTCTTCTCCAGCGTTCGGCGTCTTCTGTTTTTCCGCTGGTCAGCTTCGCCGCCTCCAGTTCGCTTGCGTCTCCCCCGCTTTAGTTGAAGATGATAATAATATATATTAGGGGTGGAGCAAAATGCAGCGTTTTGCTCCCCCTTTTATTATTTTATTATTTTTCTTTTTTTTTAATTTATTTTTTTCTTTCCTTTTCCTTTTTCTTTTAATTTTTTTTTAGTTTTTTTTTTTTCAAAATCTTCTAAAAACCTGCAAGCAAAAATTCAAAGATAAGGTAGCATTAATTGTCCTCAAAAATCAATTAGTCACAATTAAACCAAAATATGACAATTTTGCCCCTATAAAATAATAATTCAAAATAAAACATATTAAATCAATTAATCAATCAATTAAAGTCAAAAGGGACTAATTAAGTTGACAAAACCCATATAAAAGATATCAAAATATATAAAAATAATTGAGTTTGTCACAGACTCATTCCCACAAGAGAAATTAAGAAACAAACAAGTGTCAGTGGCATACTGGTAATTAGATGCCAAAAGAACAAGCATTCCAACATGAAACAGATTCAAAGTGACATCATTCCATGCATATCAACATTTAAAATGAGCGAAGCAGAAATTAAGAGCCGAGCGAAAGGCTTTCAAAAAGACCCAATTCTTATCATCTTGAGGTTCAATTTAATGTTCAAATAAATGTATTTGAGAATTAGCAATGAAACAAAAAAGACACATTGGCATTCAAATAACAAGTTGATGACTATGAACAAACTACTTAAACACAGTTCGATCTACCTGGTCAATCGCACGTAAAATAAAATAAAAGAAAGAAATCAAGAAACTAAAATAAATTGCAACAATTAATTCATTTATAAGATCTTTTCTAAATTAATAGGTGAGAGATGAAATGAAGAAATTAGAACAGGAAAATAGTCCCCCAACATTTTCTAACTGATCAAATTGAATAGAAAATGTAGGGCCTAAAAATATATAACTTAGAACATTGAAGAACATTGAAAGGAGACATGAAGTGAAGTAACGAGAACTTACCCTTAACAGCTGCTACAGCCTTTAATAGCTACTACAATATTTATTTCACTCTGCATAGACAGGGTCCCAGGTTCAAGGACAAAGACTCTGTTTTAGAGAAAACAGAAGATATCTTTGAGAAAAGAAAAATAAATTAAAAACATTTTTGTACAAAATATTAGGGAGAAAGACAGGACTTACTAGTGCATCATAAGATACGACAAGATTACATAGAGTTAATGTAATATCCCAAATTTTATGGATTTGACTAAAGCATGATAAAGGAGAAATTTTTAGAGGAATTATTGAGATTAAGACCTTTCAAATATGGTCTGAATAATTATAAAGTTAATTTCAGGAATTTAGGACCTATTTTCTTGGAAAATTTAAGGAAAAATAATTAGAGGATAATTTTTGAGCTGAGATTTTTAGGATAATTATTTTATAGACTAAAGAAGCTAATGGAAGAAGAAAATTTATATAGATATCCAGGTTTGATTTCTGGAATTATTTGATTATTCAAAAAGAAAAAAGAAAAGGATCAAATTGAAGAGAAAATAAAGACCGAAGGGCAAAATAGTCATTTCACATCCCTCACCCCATCTAATATACCGACACCTCCTCCCTTCTCATTTTCCTCTGCTATTCGAAGGGAAAACAGAGAGAGAGAGTTGAGAGACTTCGAGAGAGATCAAGAAGAGCAAAGGCAATTGGAGGAGGGAATCGATTTATACCAAAGTGGAAATCAAGCAAGCTGAGTCTCCCAAACCTTCTTCCATCTCTGTTTGCTATTATTTGGTCATGTGTTGCAAGACAATGATGAAGATGAAATCTGGTTTTTGAGGGAGGAAATGAAGAACATGACAGCCAAGCTGTAGAAATCGCGCTTAATGGCTAGGATGAAGTTTGTGGTTGAGATTTCTGCACTTGTTTTTTTTTGGTTGATTGCTCTGGTTAAAGTTTCTGAAACAAGGGTTTGGGGATTTAAGGAAATGGCTTTTGGTATGGGTAATAGATGATTAACGAGTCTAAATATAATTAATTATTTTCTGGTTGTATGATTATAATATGTTGATTTTATATGCTCTGTGTGGTTATTGAGGGATCGAAGAGTGTGTGCTTTGAATAAGGAAAATTCTAGACTTAATGATGGAAGAACGCTATTCGATTTTGCTGGTCAAGAAGTATTTGAATGCTAAACGCATGAGCTATAAATATATATATATAGATATATAGAACAAAGCCTTTTGAGACCGAAGCATTGGGAGAAAGAATTGGGCTCTTTATATATTCTTTTGGTTTTGGCTCCACGTTCTGAATTATAGTGAACAGATTTTCTTGGAGTTAAAATGGAAAAGTAATGCCAAAATCTAGAATTTTCATAAGCGAAGGAAATTGTTGAGATTGGGAACTAATTAAAGCATGATATGTATGCATATGTTTGGTGTTTATCTCAGCAACGTTGATGTTGCGACTTGAGGGATGAAACTAAATCCCATGGTATTAATTATGTACACCTGATTGATAGAGCAATCTGGAATTTTTGAAGGAATGGTGCAGAGGGTGAATATATATATATATATATATATATATATAAAGTGAGGAATAAAATAATGTTTTAGTTGAAGGTTGATGCTGGAAAAATTTAGAAACAGTGGCAGAATGGTGCTGTTCGGATTATAATAGGTGTTTGGGGTGTCTAAATGCAAAATGTTTAAATAGGAAATTTATAGGCTTATATAAGTGTTATATTATAGATATGTATGTCAAATAGGAGTCTTAAGAGGATGGAAGTTAAACATGATGCCCCGTTAAAATGATCATAAAGGATTTAAATTATAAGGAATGTGTTAATGTGTTAATGTAATGCTCTAGATGAATATCTAGATATATATATATATATATATATATATATTAATCTGCCCTTGCTCAAATAATTTATAGAATTTGATATTGGTTTGAATCGATTAAGAAAGGAGCCAAGAAGGAGACAAGGGGAAGGGAATATAGAAGAAAAAGCAAAAGGTAGTAACTCTTTTCCTTTAATGTGATTGTGCATTGATTGCCACATGCTTGATGTACCCTTATGCTGATTGTGCATGAGAATATGTAAGTTGCCTTTGCATGATAATAATTGTCATGACAATATGCGCTAGTTTCCATTTAGTTTGGAATGTGGGCGCGATAGATAGCGATTGGCTATATGGGTGTATGGTGTATGTGCATCATTGAATATATTTGGATGCAAGGTGTTGTTCTCTTTGGCCTGTATAACATGTTGTTTGTGATCTTGTATGATTACGTAAAGGAAATTTGTTACTACTGAGATTCTCTAGAATCTTACCCCTTCTTCCATGTAATACAACAAAAGCAAGTACTCCTAAGGGCAAGAGAGTAGTGATTGGTGGAGTTTGAAGGTGCAGGAAGTTGGTGATCTTTTTTTTGTGTGTGTATATATTTGGCTTAAAATGCATCTTATTTTGAAGTGAAGATATATTGTATATCTATTTTGGTATGTAAATATTGCTCCATAAGGAGGTGGCTAAGGGCAGATAAACCATGATAACTGCTATTGAAGAAAATGATCGATATTTTGATATAGTTATTATTTTGTCTAAAATTATGTGTATCTGTATATGTAACTCGTTGTACGAGCCTATAGCCAGAATATTGAATGTTAGATCCTACTGGCTATAATTGATTTGATATAGGGTCCAAAAGGTTGGATGGAAAAAGAATGGGTTCGATGGTTGAATGCGAACGGTAGGTCTTAGATAGTTTTTACTGTCTTTGTAAAAAGGTTAAAATGGGTACTCGAACCACTAGATAGGTTATTTTGAAAGTGAATTTTTGAAAGGTTTAAAACTTTTCAAAAAATGTCATTCCTTGAACAGGATTGGACTTCGTATTTGGGAACTTAAAAAAAAAATTGTCTTCCCCAGGATTGGAACCTAGCTTTTAATGATTCAAGATTAAATAGAACAACTATATTGGTGTATAAAGGATAGTCGTGACAGTTAATATGATCACAAGTAAAATATATCCTCATAAAAAATCACGTACTTGAGTGACCTGTGCTCTCGTTCAGCTTCCTCAAACCGCATTTTGACATGACTCTCAGTTATTCCTTCCAACCAACATCAATAATGTGGAAAAATTATAGGACATTCAAACATTTTCAAATTAATACTAATCCACACACACACATAAATGGAGGGTAAAGCTCTAAGAGCAATCATTTTATTTTTGGTAAGAGATGAGAATTAGAAACCAATTTAACTAACTAAACAATTTGGGGATTCAATCCCATACAATCACCAATCATAATAGGCTATAATTGAGAAGGACAATTATCTAATAAATCCGTAAAAGAGAGCCCAAGCTTGGACAACCCATCAGCAAGATTGTTGTACATTCTTGTTGTATGACATAATTTCATATCCCAATTAAGCATCATCATCTCACAAATCTGGAAGAAAAGCAAGCTGTTATTATTGTAGGGGGTTTTACTATTCAATAGATCAGTCAAGGTCTTTGCATTCTGATTCAATGATAAAGCCGAAGCCCACTCATTTTTCAAATACAAATGAAATAGTAGTAGAAGGATTTATAAATCCTTAAAGCTCAAGCCCACTCGCTTCTCAGAGTTTATATAAAATAAATCCCATATAGCCAATAATTTTTTCACTAGTCCACACTATGGAACCGTATCGAATATATATATGTATAGAAATGATCATTCAAATATAATTTTCTCAACAAAACATGAATTGGGGCGGCTGGTCATCGTTCAAATTTAATTTCTTAGTACCTAATAGAGTTAAGTTTTCTGCAGAAGTGGTTTCTTTTTCCATGCCTGAAAATGATATTTGTGGACATCAAAATTAAAAGCAAAATATCCTTTTCCTGAGTTTTATAGTCTGAACTTAAATACTCTCTCATCTCTACACTTTTACTCGATAATCTTCTCCCATATACTTGATGCTAAAAGTCTGACAAACTAACAATAATATTATCACATTTTCATAGGCCTCATCCCAATAACAACTCAATCTCAATAATAAATTAAAAAAGATGACAGCAACTGAATCTCAATAATAGCAGCTCAGTCTTTGCCCTAATAGCAACATGCACAATACATATACATACCAGAACGAGAGAGGATGAAAAATTGGGAACCACCACAGAGCTCGAGCTCACATCGAAGACCCAAAGAAATACCATAAATGAGCTTCACACAGACAGCAGACGACATTGAATGGGGCTAGACGATGGTGAACATTGGAGGTCAATAGGAACTTCGACGGAGGAAAGGAAGAGAGGATCGACGACATGAAGGAAGATGAGTGTGTCTGAATGTGCAGCTGGGGGTCGAAGCTAAGTGTGTGTGCTCGCAGAGAAAGAAGAGGTGAAGTGTTTGTTGAGAGAAGGCAGCTGCCAAGCTCTTCTTTTTATCCTAGAGATTTTTCAGAATGGACAGGTATTGTTAAGTTAAAAAAAAAAAAATATTTCTCCTTTGTTTCAGCAAAACAGACGAGAATACACATACCTTTCTCGTCTGGTTGGAAAACAGAAGAGAAAACTTGGTTTTCTCCTTTGTTTTGAAAAGACAGATGAGAAAAAAGAGTTTTTCTCGTCTGTTTCTATTAATAGAGGAGAAAAGTGATTATTCTCCTCTGTTTTGTAAAATAGACATTAATGAGGGAGGTAAAAAGTATAATTTGTTGTAATGAGAGTAAAAATACAAAAGGTGGATTAAATTTTAGATGAAAAGGAAGTTTAACTTGATAGCTCCGGTCTTTAATATAAGAACTAGTTTGACATTCAAGTTGGTCCTAAATATAAAAATCCAATGTATTTTGTCTTTTATATTTATCTACGTTTTCCCAAAAGTAATCCTTGTAGTGGTTGCATATGTTAAATGTGTCCATGAAAGGGTAATTCTAATACACATTATTAGTAAGGGTATTTTAGAGAAGACCACACCTATTTATAATAAATAGCTAACTTAACTTTCTTAAACTCCCCAAATTAATCAACTAGATCTTATATTAAGGACCAGAGGTAGTATACATAAGACCAGCCCTATGAGAGATGATGTAACTTATACTAATGACACAGGGAGTAAAATGAGCTCGCCCTTAAAGGGTGTGTTTAGATTAGCTTATAGTTTTTTTTGTGATTTTGCATTGTAGGAAGTAAATATGTGAAAAGAGTTTTGTCTCTGATCACCTTATCATTCAACGGAGGATGACCTCATTATATTTAAGGGATTTCTTGGCTCAGATTTAATGCTAGAACAACATTGCGACATTCTAGTAAGTTTAAGGGCGATATTACGTCATTAATATAGTTTGGCATACATGGTGCCTTTGAGAAGATAGTTTAAGGAAGAAAATATCAGATCAGACAGCTCGTATTTAGCAGTATAACTTCTTTCAAGTTTGTGAAACATAAACAATTGTCTTTCATTTTACATATAACTGAATACAAATTACATACAGTTGAAGAAAAGTGGCGTTAGTTAAACATAGGTTACAATTGGGTTCTTAAACAAATTTAGACACATTAATTTAAACAGTAAATTTTGTAAGGAAGGATTTTTCAGCAAGTTTTCCTTTTTAAAAATGCAACACTCTATACTTCTATAAACTGAAAATTTACCATTAAAATTATTTGAAGAAAGCGATTCAAAACTCCAAAATTTGTGCACCACAAATTGCTAGCATAATGGATTGCTACAAAAATCCTTTTTAGACTTTTCCTTCTTTTTTTTTTGGGCACCAAATCCTTATTAGACTATTGCTTAGAATTATAGCTATCGTAATGTCCAACATATATGTAACTAATTGACCAATCAATTCTTTAATGTTCTGTAGACGAGAGATGAGGGATATATAATTACAGGGGCAGCCCAGGCTCCGTGGAAGTTCATAGATGGCTTGGGACCTGGAAACATTTATTCTGTATCATTCCAAAATTTCCATCTTTAGATGGAGCTATACACAGTTATTGAAGATATATTGGAAGATGAAGAAATGAACACGACACTCACAAGGGAGAAAGATTTAATCATAAGAACTTACGAATAAGATGCAAATTAAATTGAGCGATATATAATGAAAAACCCAGTACATTCTGAGAAACCTTAATTAGACTGAATCCTCCCTCCTCCTCACATTTATTAGAATTAAGGAATTTATTTGCCTTCTTTAATGTATGCAAATCAGTTATTACGTAGGAGTATATTATATATAGAGGGAAAGATGCTTCTGCCGAAAATAGAGCCTATGTGACACATATACGTCAGCATTCTATGCAGATATAAAAAATACAGCTGGTGAAATAATGCTTTCAACTTTGTTCAGTTGAATCAGACCTGTAACAAAATATATTCGGCAAAAAAAAAAAAAGGCCTATAACAAAATATAAAAAGAAAAAACTGTAGCCATTTAATTCAGCTTTTTCCCTTATAAATGGAGAGCCTTTCGATCCGATTCCAAATGAATGCTTTCTTTTAATTGAAAAAAAAGATGCTTTTTTTCCCAATGTGTGATCATATTTTAATCGCTTCCTCAATTGATGATCCACAGTGTGCCACGAAACTAACGAAATATGTGATCTTATCCGTTCAACATTTATATTATACATGTGGGTGTGTGAGCCATCGTTTGTTTGCACGATGGAATACTGGAAAAGCAAGGCTTGACTTTAATGGATAGCCAGACAATTACTTATTAAAGCTCGGTCAAGTTTCGCGGAAGTTTTTGATAGCTGGCTTGGGACCTGGAAACGATTTATTCTCCATCATTATTAATTCCAATTTCCATCTTTAGGTTGACCTCTACAGTTAAGGATCGTCCAAGTGTTAACACAGAGCAAAACACAGAAGAGATTCGGAAGATGCATGGAAGGGGAAGAATGAACACATGCTCACCAGGGAAAAAGATACACACACACACACACACACATATATATATAGAGTGAAGTGAATGATCATAAAAGGTTACAATAAGATGCAAATTGAGAGATTTACAGATAAAGAACCCAAACATTCTGAGAAACCTTAAACTTAAGCCTTCGACCTTTGATATGAAATTGAGGGTCACTGAAGATAGAGCCATTGAAAAGACCTTGACTTTGTCCTGTATTCAAAATAGCATTGTTCTGAGAAGAGGGAAGAATGTTCCCTTGGTTCCTATGAGAGACCACTCTGTCATCTTCCAACAACTTTCTTCGAATAAAATTTACATCGTCCATAACATCATCGGGAGGCAAACAATCAGGTGCAAGACTACTAATGAGACCATCACACTTACCGACAGGATCTGCAAAACCTGAACGGTCCACAACAAGACCGTTCGATGGATCGCAGGATATGCACGAAATGTTACGAAGAACCACCGAAGGAGACTTCGACTCGAATTGAATTTCATATTCGTCATCTCTTCTGTACAAGGCTAACTGATTTTCACTTCTTCCCATTTCATAGCTCCAAAATGATACCTGGCGTCCGATTGGTCTTCGTCTTTTAACTGTGAAATTCTCACCAAATTCTCGAGCTTTCACAGAACCAAACTTGTAAAGCCGATCGCTGTCTCTTAGAGCCACGAACTCTGTTTACTGCCACAAGATTATCTTCACACATGGCATCATAGAATGTAAAAATCACCTTGTCATGACTCGCCCCGTAATAAGAAGTGCAAATTCCTGGTTTCTCGTCCCACTCACCAGTATAAATGATAGCGCTCTCCTTGCCGAATTCATTTGACCATTCGTATTGTTCACATCTTATCGAGACAGAAACTCTTGGACGATGGGGCGCTATGTGGCTCAATGAAGAACCCATATGCTTGTATTCACAAACACATCAACTCGCTCAACATTTACAGGGAATATTAAAGGGGTTATATATACTGGGGCGATACCGGATAAGTATATGTTCGATGATAAAACCTATTCAGTGATTAAATAATATAGGGATAAGATGCAATCATATCCATGAAGTATTTCCCTGTGCCCATATATATATGACACCATAAAATCTTCATGGGTGCAAGTACATATGAACGTTCCGCAATAGAGAAAGTGTCATGTCCGTTAAATACGAGCAACATCAACTGTCAAGTTCACGTGGAAATTAAAACATAAAAATATATGTATCAAAATTATTTCTTTGGCAATATAAGTGTTCAAATATTTTAGATAATATTTGTGTTAATATTTCACATTTGAGTGCTGAACAACATATAAAATGTGGGAAAATAAAGAATAACCAAGTTTACAGGTGCATATACATATATCCACTTTCAACTAGAACTTGCAGTCCAGATTATTTTTTTAGGATATGCCGTCATGGCTTCTGTCCTATTTTTTATGTACACTCTAACTTATCTTTTTAATGGAAATTATTTTGTCCTCTCTGGAAAAAAAAAAAAGTACTTCCACTACGATCCAAAGAATCAGATTCTAGAATAGGCTGGGCAAGATAGCCCAAGTAATAAGGATGTGGTGATAAGATATGTAGACAAAGATTAAGAGTTTAAATCTCTCTTGACATTATATATTTCTATTATTTTACTTTTAGAATCATCGTAAGCTTCTCAGTAAATTATATTGACTTCTATAACTTACTAAACCCTAAACGCCTGGCTCTAACTATCTCTAGACTAAGTTCTTCCACAAACAATTACAATAAATGATGCACATATCCCAATCCCAATTCTAATTCTAATAATGCAACACTAGTTCCAAAAGATTCTTTATTTTTCCATAAATTAATTATCCATCATCAAAAAAGTTCAAAAATGGGCATCAACACTTTTAAGAAGTCCGCATTACAGCTGACAGCATAATGGGTAGCATAACAAATTAATTATTTAACAGGCTTACAATTAAAGCTACCACCATATATTCTCTAGAAGATTGTAACTAATTGATCAATTGATTCTGTAATGTGCTCATCAGAACATGAAGGCGCAATAGAAGAGGAAGAGATGACCCTGATACACAGTAGAAAGAAGGTCATTACCACTTGTTGTATCGTTTACATTAGTTTTCGGAATGAAGAACTTACAATAACACTCTTCTAGTTTTAAATATAAGACCCAGTTTGTAGTGTAAATTATACTACAAAATGGGTCTTATATTAAGGACAGTAGGAAGTGGCATTTAGAGTGATATACAGCTCTTGTTGTGGCTTTCAATCTTGAGAGAGAGAGCCAGAGATTGATTGAATTGAAGAAGCCAAAGATTCTGAGAACCTTTAAACAGAATTTGATAGTGTCTGAAGCCATTGAGGAGACCTTGAGTTTGTCCTGAATTGGAAATAACATCGTCTTGTGAATAGGAAAGAGAAGGCCGTGAGAGATTGCACTTCCTGCATCTTCCGCTTTTCTTCCGGGACTTGACTATCTCATGGATATATTGGATATTTCACGAACGACAAACACTGTAACCAATAATTGAAGATGTTTGGTTCCAATGTCATTATTCATAAATCACATCCCGCTCCCACACTCCCATGAAGATAATAATTATACTAGAAAATAATAATTGGCATTTTTCTTTTTCTTTTTTTCTGTTGTTAGTTGGAACCACATGTTTTTGTAATTCCCTCAAATTTATATTTATATGCTTTTTCATATAATTGATTCCCTGTGTTTATCCCACTTGCGATGGCCAACCGAGACCTAACCCACCATTATTAGGGCCAAAATAATGCGTATTCTTCTCCCACTATGTTAAATTACTAAATTGCCAAATTATAATTTCATCCAGTTGCTTAATTCAACCAACCTAAGCATTATTTAATTATAACTTAATTAAATTAATAATTACCTGGGGGTATTTCTGCTGGATTTCTCTGCATTCAATTTTGCTCATACACTATTGCCATTTGCTAGATGCAATTTATAAGCTGAATTGAGTAATTAATTTATAATATATCACTAAAAAAAAAGGACTTTTAGCAATGACTTTTTGTGTCATCACTAAAAGTGTGACTTTCAGCAGTGACTCTTAATGTTAACGCTAAAAATCTTACTTTCAGCCACAACCATAATGTCACTGCTTTTAGAGACGTCACTAAAGGTCAATTTTCAAAAGTGAGACTGTCAGCACTAACCATGTCACTGCTGAAAGTATATTTTCAATAGTGACCTAATGCTGCCACTAAAAAGGACCCACCAAAAGAAGCTTTTAGTGGCGACTCAACATGTCGCCGCGGGCCTGCCAGCAACAATGTGATGGCTATTGACGATGGTCCTATTTTTTTTGGCGACTTCTTTCAATAGTGGCTTTTGTGTTGGTGCTAATGGATTGTTCAGTGGCGACTTTTGTGCCACTGCTAAAGGGTCTTTTTGAAACTATACTTTCAGTGACGGCTTACTTTGTTACCACTGATAAGTTTCAGCAACAGTCGTTACGGCAATGACTTGGTGACAACTTCAGTGGCAATTTTTGACTTTCAGCGGCTCTTTTTTTTTTTTGTAGTGTACGTTGTGTACTGACAAATAAATAATTGTTATGAGAATTGACAAATTAAAAATCAGCCAAAAGGTTCCTCTTTATGTGCTTATAGTACAACAAACCCAAAGATACTTATCTCACTTGACAGACTCAATTGAAGCATACAGATATTATACAACTAATAATGCAAGTTGCTTTATTAAAATTTCCTAATTAAGTAGCATGAATAAAAAATTGATGAATAATTTGGATATAATCACAAGTCAATAAAAAAACAGGTGACATAAAAAAATGAATGGAGCTAACTTATTATAAAATAATAAGAACAACGTGAATATATATATATCCACACACATACATATGTAGATGTTAATAATCATAAGAACTTAACAATAAGATGCAAACTGAGCGATATATATAATGAAGAACCTAAGCATTCTGAGAAACCTTGAGCAAACTCAAACCTACCACCTTTGATATGAAATTGAGGGTCCTTCAAGATAGAGCCATTGAAATTACCTTGACTTCATCCTGTGCTCAAAATAACATCTTCCATTAACTGTGTCCGAATGTCATGTACATCCAGCGAAAGTACCTTGAAAATTTCATTGTTAATAGTTCGTCAGATCCCGACCGCGCTGGATGTTCCTGTTGTTGATGATACAGCCGTTGCCATCGCCTTGAGAAATCCGCTCATTATAAATAAAATTTCCCGAATTATAAATGTTTTGTGAATTCCCGGTAGTGATATTATTGTTGCCATCTTCCATCAGCTTACTCCGAATGTCAATTAAATCCTTCATAATAACATTATCTGGAGGCTCTTCGTGATATACTTCCTGAAACCCAACCGGATATCTTGCAGCGCAGAACGCATCCGCATCTAGACCGCTCCTAGGATCAAAGGTTATGAGCACACAGTGACGAATATCCACAAAAGGATAACTTGTCTCGAATGCAATTTTATAGCTATCCATATCTTCTCTATTCAAGGTTAATTGGTATGTTCTTCTTCCCATTTCATAGCTCAAAAAGAATAGCTCAGGTCCGAATGCTCTTTGTCTTCTCACTTTGAATTTCTCCCGGAAATCTTTCACTTTAATGCCACCAAATTTGTAATGAGGCCCATCATCGCCATCTTCTCATACGGCCACAAACTCCATGTTTGCGGCCAAAAGATTATCTTCACACCTGGCATCATAGAATGTAAAAATCACTTTGCACGTTTCCATTCCACAATAAATAACGCAAATTCCTGGATTTGCGTGCCACGAACTGTAAACGGAAGCGTACTCATCCCGGGATCCACTACTGGTCCATTCGTAAACATCAGCTCCGTTCAGATCTGCAGGAGCCCCGTGAAAAATGGTTGCTAAGTGAGGAGCCCATATACTTGCATTTATGATCAATTCATAACCTAATAAACATTTACTGAGACGAGGGATACACACACACACACACACATTTGAGGCGAGCTAGACTGGACAAGAATATATTGGATGATAGGTGCTGTTCAATATTGGATCGAATAATATGTATAATGTGGCTGTCAAAAACACGCACAAATGCTTCAGAATAACTTTTGTAAAGGGAGAACCCGATTCCGTTTAATCATATTCATTCTAATGCACCGTTCCCTCAGGTCCTGTAAATAAGTTATGACTAACCGAATCATGTAGATCAAAATGGCGATTAAAATTAGTTAAAAGTAATTAATGTGGATGAGATATACCTTTTCTTTCCTAAATATACCCTTATTTATAGAGAGTAAGTGAGAGAAAATGAGTGGGAAAATTTTGAGAAAATTGATGTACAAACATATATTTAATGGGAGCAAAAATTGAAAGGGCGGATCAAGATTTTCGGACAAAAATGAAGTCTAGCTTATAATAGGACTAGCCTTATAAAATGAGTTGGCCGTTACCCCATGTTTGTTTGGTTAAACTTTAATGAACTTGATTTAAAAAATTGAAGTGGGGTTTAAAAATTTTAATAAAGATAATATAAAATATAAAAGAGTGATAAAAATTAATTAAAAGCTCTTAATCTCACTTTTTCAATTGTTTAAATCAAGCACATTAAAATTTTCTCCCCTCCATTTTCTTCATGCCAAACGGGCTGACAAATGTTTAAAATGAGAAAAGAATTTTGTCTCTATTGACCCTGTCACTGATTGCAGTACCAAAACAGCATTGCAACATTTTATCAAGTTTAGGGCGACGTTACATCCTTAATATTTGGGCATCCATGGTGATTTTGAGAAGATGGCTTAAGGAAGAAAATGTCCTTTTGATGTAATTAAAAATAAAAGAACGATTTGCGTAATCTTTATTGTAGGAGATATCAATTGAGATTTTGAAAATAAAAGAGAAATATTTATACTTTGTTAATCCTTAATAAAATACGCCAATACACTTGATCTCATATTTATTTCGTGATCTAATGCTTATTTCGTCTATGCTCGTGTTAGTGTTACTAATGCCTTTTACTATATTGTAGTGGAGAGAGGATTCGGAGTGAAAAATGGGGGGTCTTTTATTATTAATTTTATAACTTGATACACTAAAATTTATCGATTTTTTTTAAGTTAAGGTACAAATTTGTCATGAAAGTTTTTACTTGGGAGAGTTGAAAATTCAAAAGTATTTTTTGGTGCAAATTTTTCTAAAAAATTATAACAACATTGCCTCCTGTTATTAAAAAACAAATGTTGACCATTAAGATAGTGATGTTTGTAACACCCCAAATTTCTGAATTAGGAAAAGTAGAAATGAAAAATTTTATTTAAAATTATTTGGTGCCTGAATAAATTGGGCAAAAATATGGAACATGAATTTTAAAGACTTAGAAATATTTTGAAAAAGTTATTCCCAAAAAGTGGCTTAAATAATTTTAAAGTTATTTTTAGAATAAAAATGGGTTAGTTTCTTAGAAAATTTTAAGAAAAGTGGCTAGGAGTCGACTTTTGACCAGAAATTTTTAGAGAAACTATTTTATGCGTCAAAGAAACCATTATGAATTAATTTATGAGTTTATCTTATATTTCAGAAAAATAGAGAAAGGGATGAAATTGGGAATAAGGGGAATGAATGGCATAGTGGTCACTTAGCTTCACCACTTCTCTCTCACGCGCCTTTCCCCTTTAATCTTCAGAAACTTTCTCCCCGCCTCATATGCATCCAGAGCGTGGGAAGAGTTGAGAGAAACAGAGACGGCGGACGGAGAAAGATCGGAGGTGCTTGGGTCACATGGAAACCGATTAAATTTGGAAGGTGAGACTCCTGATCAATCTTCCATCCTTTTCTTTTCCGTTTTTGGCGTATTTTGGCTGTAATGGAGAGGAGAGAGGGGTAGGGAGAGAAACTCCTGATTTAAGCTGGAAACTTGATGATGATGAGAGAATGATGTTGGTTGATGATGGTAGTGTAGGATTTTTAGGTTGCATGTCCCTTTCTTG